TAATTGAAAATTTATTTTGTCGGATTCACTAAGGCTCGTTTGGCAAGCCTAGAAGATAAAGACTTATTTATGTGTTAAATAAGTCCCTTTTTAACTCATCTCCTTATATGTATTGAATGGAAATCCTTGAGAGTACCTAAGAGAGAGAGAGAGAGAGAGAGAGAGAGAGAGAGAGAGAGAGAGAGAGAGAGAAGAAAAGAAATGAAAGATGGAGAAGAGTTTGGAGATTGAAGATCTTACTAGGAGTAATTGAAGGATACAACTTAAAGTAAGTATAGATCACTAGCCAATTCTCATTTTCTCTTCAATTAGTTTAATTAAGCTTTGAAATGAAGCATCCTCCATAAAACTAGGGTTTGATTGTGTAATCAATTTCACAAATGATTGTGTATCACTTGAGTGTGTGTATTAGGGAATTTGATCTCTATGATATGCCACATCTCACTCTTTTGTATGTTTGAACTTATATGATACACATGCATATTTATACATATATTTACATGATGAGAATGAGGAACTATGGAATTGGAAGTGTGAAAAACCAAGTGAAACAAGTCTTGATCTTAATTAGCTAAACTACATGTTCACATGTTTATATGTTCTGTCTTAGGGTAAAATTTACCTTGATTCTAGCTATATGACTTTCCCCTTGTGGCTTAAAATTGTTGAAGTTTCGAGTAGAAAAATAGAGCAAAACGACCGCATGTGCGGGGCCCATGGCTGCACATGCAGAAGGCACAACCACACGTACGGGGCTCACAGCCGCACGTGCAGAAAACAGGGGAGAAAGATCAAACTATAGTGCTAAAAAGGCATGTGCGGCCCGCACGTGCGGCGGCGCCCTCCGCATGTGCGGCCCATGTTGGAAAATTCTGCAATTTTCTTTCACTCTTCTCGACCCTCTAAATGTGTTATTTTGTCCGTTCAATGTTCCTTTAATGCATTTAATTACATGAAACATAGCGAATCAAGTAACGAGAAATGAAAGGAAACTAAGAAAAGGTGATGTACTTACGAATTATGTGCTATGTGTAGGGCCTCCACAGGAAAGGACCATCGTTCACCCACATCACAGTGAGTGATAATAGTGTAATATTATGCTCTACTCATGTTTTGTGTTTGTATATGTGTTATTCAAGATCTTATTCACTTTTGTGAATACCTTATGCTATATGTGATATGTTTGATATATGTTTGAACCTTGACATGTGAGATATGGACCCAAGGTCGTTCTGTATTTTGTTGGGCCTAAGGCCGTTTTGTTATTATAATGGGCCTAAGGCCGTTCTATACTACAATAGGCCTAAGGCCGTTTTGTATTCTGTTGGGCCTAAGGTCGTTCTGTCTTATGTGGGCTTGAGGCCGTTCAGAAAAGGAAAAGCGGGTGAAATTATGATTTGTGAATATGTGTTGTTGACCCTTGTTCGCACTCTTAATTCATTTGTACTACTATCATTCACTGAGCCTTGCTTAGTCAACTTTCCTAAATGTTTTGTAGGTAACCAGCTTGCGGGTCAACCCTAGGTCAGCCCAGAAGCTAGTAGTTGAACCCGTTTTGCTGAGTCACCCAAAGTGACTCTTTTGTTATATTTTAGAAAATCCCTATGATCGCATGTTTTATTATAATTTTTGGGAACAATAGATATGTATATAGATATTATTAACACTTGACTTTCGAGTTGATTCCCTTTTTGTATTCAGTAATGTGAATGGTACACAAAATTTTATGTATATATGGTAATGCAACATGATCCTGGCATTTAGACACAACTCAATGAATGTTTATTCTTCTATTATTTTGCTTCTGTTCAGGCCCTAAGATTGAGTAACATTTAAAACAGCTAAGTTAAGGCCTCGAGTTAGGCCAGTCATGTCCAAACTTTTAGGGGCAGGTTTGGGTCGTGACAGTTTAAGCCCTCCATGATTTTGAATACGTTTCCTTCTTTACCATCTGTCCATTCTGTTGCTATTGAATCTGCTTTGAATTTCATCATTTGTGTGTCAAACATGTTTGTTTGCGATTTTGTGTTGTTCAATCTGTCTCTGGGTCTACATATACACATGCGAATTGTTCATATACTTGATGTTTTAGCAATTTGTCACTGTTCTTGGCTTTTGTACATCTGCACACACTTATTCAGTGTTCTTGAATTTCTGTTTGTTTTCTTGAGTCTGAATCATGTCATTTTCTGTTTTTCTTGCTTATTTCCAGATCTTTCCCTTGATTTCCTGTTTCCGTATAGATTTAGGTTTGGGATTTGGTAGAAACAACATTCTCTATGGAAATTGAAACAAATTCCCCCTAGATCTTGAAAAACCCTTGCCCCAACTCTTATTTAGGGTTTAGTCAAGGTCCTTAAACCCATATCGAACATTCTCTTTTGAAATTTTGCCCTAATCTTCATAAGCCGACATCATGGGTATGTTCAGGTGGAAAGTAGATACCCCAGAAAAAATAGAATATTTCTGTCGACAGTTCTCCATCCCAGCCGATGTTCACTTCAGGTTGGCTAGAGAGGAGGACTCTATCATGTCTGATGGGGATTCCATGCCCTTTCCAGTAATTACTTTCATAGAGTGTGGACTTAGGTTCCTTTTAGACATTCTTTTCCGAGAAATCCTTCATTATTACAAGCTCAACCCGATGCAACTGGCCATTAACTCCTATAGGATCATCAATGGTATAATTACTCTAGCTAGCCGAGAAAACGCTAGGATAACACTAGCCGACATCCAATATTGTTATACCATGTGTGGCCAAAAATCTGAAAAAGGCTACATTTATTACCTCAAGCCGAGATCAATAGCCTAGAAACTCATAGCCGACCTTCCAGACTCCAACAAAGGTGCTAAAGATGATTACTTTATCGTCTCAGGCAACTGGGAATTTGCACCTGAAAAAGCATACACCATGGCACGTCATCCTGAATATTTATCGTCAACTCGTCCATAACTAAAGCAAAAAGATAAGGACTTAAGGTAGATCCTTGGTGTAACCCTACAGTGATAGGAAATTCATTTGTTTCTCCAGCTGGCGATCTAATAGTGGTCACCACCCCTTCATACATGTCCCTAATCACGTCAATGTAGCCTTTTGTCACCCCTTTCTTCTCTAACGCCCACCATATTATATCTCGGGGCACTCTGTCATATGCTTTCTCAAGGTCGATAAACACCATATGAATGTCTCTTTTCTTTTCTTTATACTTTTTTATTACTCTCCTCAAAAGATAGATCGCTTCCATTGTTGACCTACCAGGCATAAACCCAAATTGATTCTCTGACACCTCTGTTATGTCTCGCAATCGGCGTCCCATCACCATCTCCCACACTTTCATTATATGACACATTAACTTGATTCCTCTATAGTTGTTACAATTCTGGACATCACCTTTATTCTTATAGATTGGCACTAAAATACTCTTCCTCCACTCACTTGGCATGTTCCTAGTCAACAAAATTTAGCTAAACAACCTAGTCAACCAAGCAACTCCCTTTTTACCCAAACACTTCCAAGTTTCAATAGGGATATCATCAGGTCCTAAAGCCTTATTTGATTTCATCTTCTTAAGTGCAATCTCCACTTCAAAGTTCCTAATCCTGCGATAGAACCTATAGTCTTGGTTTATCGTATTACTGGCTATTTCTTCCCCTATTGTCGTACTTCCATGTTCCTCATTTAACAGTTTCTCAAAATAATTCTTCAATCTTTCCTTAATCTCATCATCCTTCACCAATACCTTAAAATCCTCACTTTTGATGCACTTTACTTGATTAAAATCTCTTGTTTTCCTCTCCCGTATCTTAGCAAGTTTGTATACCCTCTTCCTTCCCTCCTTACTATCTAGTCTAGTGTATAGGTCATCATAAGCTTTCAACTTAGTCTCTCTCACTACTTTCTTGACTTCCTTATTAGCCAATCTATAGCTCTTAAGCATACCCTCTTCTCTCCCTCCTTACTATCTAGTCTAGTGTATAGGTCATCATAAGCTTTCAACTTAATCTCTCTCACTACTTTATTGACCTCCTTATTAGCCAATCTATAGCTCTTAAGGTTTTCCTAAGTTCTATCCTTCTGTCACTTTTTAAAGCACTCTTTTTTTCCCTTAACTACCGCTTGAACCTCTTCCCTCCACCATCAAGTTTCCCTAGAGCTGGGTCCTGTTCCTTTCGACTCTCCAAGCACTTCCCTTGAGATTCTCCTCATACAATTGGCTATCGAATTCCACATAGTGTTAGCATCACCGTCTAAGTCTCAAGTACCTTCCTTATCCATTCGATTCTTAGGCCAAGTTTGGGAAGACTAAAAAAGTGCACTTTTTTGTCTTTTTGGACTAAAAAATTGAGGTTGAAAATATGGATGTTTAGGTTAACTTTTTGACTTTTTATTGAAAAATGTGTAATAAAAAATTGTAAAAATTGATTTGTAGTGAAAAATTTGAATTGGGAGTTGTGCAGCCGTAATTGTTGACTTTTGGTGAATAGTGTTAACTTTTTAGCTTTTTGAGTAACTTTTTGGCTTTTTTGGATCTTCCCAAACTTGGCCTTAAATATTTCTAGTTTATCCCCTTTTAGATCCCACCATCTCGTCCTACGATGCCCACCATCCTTCCTAGCTTGGTGTTGCCCTCTAAAACATAAATCTAGTACCAAAATCCTATGTTGAGAGACCAAACTCTCTCCAGGAATCACCTTACAATCATTGCATTTTAGGCAGTCCACTTTTCTCACTAAGAAATAATCTATTTGGCTCTTAACTAATCTACTCTTAAAGGTTATCAAATGCTCCTCCCTCTTCTTATACATAGTATTGGCCACCACCAGATCAAAAGCCAATGCAAAATCTAAGATTCTCTCTCCAGCCTCATTTCTGTCATCAAAACCGTATCCACCATGCACCCTTTCATAACCTAGTTTATCTATGCCCACATGACCATTAAAATCTCCACCTATAACCAGGTTCTCTCCTACAGGTATCTCCTGTGAGATCTCATCCATTTGCTCCCTAAAATCCCTCTTAGTCTGATCATCTAACCCTACTTGATGGGCGTAAGCGCTAATAATGTTCACTATATTCCCTCCAATAACTAGTTTAACTAGCATAATCCTATCTCCTTCCCTAGTGACTGTCACCACACTTTCCACAAGACCCTTGGCAATTATGATTCCTACCACATTCCTGCGTCTATCCTTACCACTATAATAAAGTTTAAAATCAGTATCCTCAATTTCCCTAGCTTTCTCTCCCGTCCACTTAGTTTCTTGTATGCAAACTATACTAACTCTCCTCCTAATCATAACATCTACCATTCCAATTTAGGGTTCAGCCTTAATTCATTAAAAATATGGAATCGATGGACGAGAAGAAATAAAGAAAAAAGATACAATGTGGATGATACCTTGATAGTTATAATTTGCTCTGGCGTCGGAGCAACTGGTTTAGGTGCTTGCTCTTCCTTGGGATCCTCTGGGATACTTGGAGCCTCACCAGGTACAAATGTCTTTGCAAATTCCTTTTTAGCTTGTTCTTCATCTTCTTCTGATGAAAATAGATTTTTTGCCTCAATTTGTTCCTACATAGGAAAAATAAAACATAATTTTAAGTTTAGGCCAAACGTGAACCCAGCCCATATCCACACCCCACCTGTAGTATGATGGAAGAAAAGGTGTAGTTATACTAATGTTGGAGGTTAGCAATGTTGATCGCGTAAAGAAAGGTCGTTGTGGGGGTTGGCTGTTATTAGAATATCACAAATTAGATTTAAGTGTTTACAGATATTAGTAGGACATTGTGATAGTGAAAGTGACCATAGCACCTTGATTCAAGCCTAGAATAAAGGGATGTCACCGTTGCATTCAAGTTTGGACTTCTCCCTTAGCCCTCACAAAGGTAGTTCGCTTGTGAAAGGCTTTAGTTTAATATATAGGCCTAGACCTAATTGGAGACAAGTTCAATCTATAAATCAAAAAACTTAGTACTTTCCTTTTAAGAAATTTTTATTATATAAAAATAGAGAAAGTGAAAGGTCAATCCAAATGCATAATTATGGATATGAAGCTCTGTAAAAATAGGGAGTCGTCACCTTCTTATGCCACCTAAAAAATTTAAAGCTACAAGGTAGATTCTAGTTACATTTCACTGCTTCAAGATGAACTATTTTTCTATATAAATAAATTGGATTTCAAATATACCTTCCACAAAAGTACTCATCAAGTTGTTTATCAGTCACAGTGCTAGATTTTTACCTTCATTACCTAGATCAACAATGGTTGTATAAAACAACGATTGTGTAAACAGTAAAACCAGAAATAGAAGCACCACCAAACTTCCTGATTCAATCCAACTTCTCACCCATTCTCACTCAGTGGTCCTAACAAACCAACTTCTCACCCACCCTCAAACCAACAAATCTTCCCCACTCCCACACCCAAACCAACTTCTGCACCTGCTTTCACTTTTTCTCTTCTTTTTTTTTTCCCCTAAGGTTAGGCTCCAAACCTTCAACCCAATGCTTTTTGAAAAGGCAGAAGGATAACAATTCATTTACAAAATTCAAGATTAGGAACATTGTTACAGTTGAAAGTCAATCATGTCACATAACAAACAGAGGCTTGGTTTCAAAAAATTAATCCCTAACATGACTAAGAAAGTTAATCAAAACTAACAAGTGAATGACAACAACATCCTGACCTCATGTTTCACTCTCTTGAAGTCCAGCAAGCGCAAGGATTTCAGCTTGTGGATGACATATAAACGGTAATTTGGCTTCTTTGTGATATTATTATCAAGAAGACTAAGGAACTGCAGCTTAGGGAGTGATGCAAGAGGATCAATCTCAACCAAGTTAGTTAGTTGATTGTTAGTGAGAACCAAAGTATGCAACTTGGGCAAGAACTCTGCAAATCCACAAAACAGAACATATCAAGCTTATGTTTGCTGAATAAGCATTATATTTTGTGATTTATTCACATTTTTATTTCACCAAACTTTTCATCTCCTTGGTGATTTCTCATATATAACATGATAAGTTTCAAATATAGCCGTTTTCTTTATACATATATATACAGGATCCATAGGATTGCACCCACCCATTGATAGTGAATATCCTGTGGAGGCTAAATGGCCCATCTCACTAGCATAGAAAATGAAGGTAGAAACATTATCAGTTATGTACAACTACTCAGATTTTTTAACAATGTTTTCATTTTTCCATTTCAAAGTTATGAGTCATTCAGATAATGGCATCTAATTTAATAACTATTCATTTTGTTTTTTGCTATTTATGAAATAAAGAAGTCCATGTCACTCAAGGAGAAACAAAACAGAGTTGAAGCCAGCCATACATGAAAAATTGATGCTATCTCATCTTAAGTCTAAAGGGCCCATTAATTCCACTCCCACAGGTCAACTACCTCTACACCACACACACAAAACACTAAAAAAAGGTACAATTCATAGCTCTAAACCCCACCAATTCATAGCCCTCGTATAACTACTAATGTTTTCCTTTTGCATAGAGAAATTGACACTTGATGCAAGGAGAGAAAGGAATTCATAGAAATTAAGTGAGGTGCTCACTTTTAATAATAGTATAGAGATAGATATATATCAAAAAAACGACCACAAGAAAGCAATATAAAAGTATAAGAAGAGCCAGCCATTCTTATTGGCATTTTATCAAGCACCTAGGAGGCATAAATAACATATATATAGTTTTCTTCTCTGCTGGACAGTAGAAATAAAATAGAGATACATAGAGATACCTAAGAAAACATAGATTTACAAACATACCCAGCCAAAAACAACAAAGAGAAACAGAGATAAGTAATCATCGTACACATAACACAAATCATCTTGATATGGAGAGTCACGATTTTATTTAGATACAAAAATATGCAAACATCACACAAAGACAAGTAAGAGAATCACCTTATACGAATTTTCTTTCCAGCAAAAACCTAGCACAAATCTTGAACAAAGAGAGAATGGTGAAATTAAAATAGGAACCATTAGAAGTAAAAATCAAAATTACCTGAAAAATTGGCAATGACAACAAAACCTTAATTTTTCAATCAAAACCCCCCAAATAAAAACCCAAAATTCTCAATTTAAAACTTAGCTTCTCAAAACTTTTATTTTATTTTATTTTTTTTCAATTGAAGTCCCCAAATCACTAAACATACACATGAAATAGAACAAATGGTGATAGAAAAATCTAAACAGAGTTTGGCTGGAAACAGGAAAAATCTACCTGCGTTCAATCAACACCTCTTGACTGTTGTGGTTTCGAAACCCTAGCTTCATAGTGAGAGAGAGAGTCAGAGAGTGAGTGAAAGAGAACCAGTAACTGTTTACCATAAAAAGAAAGAGAATTTGCACGAGAGTTGAAATCGAAATCAAAGAGACGATCAAAATCAAAATCGAAATCAAAATCAAACAAATAATGAGTAATCACTTCAATAGAAATCAACAACGCAGTGTGTACCAGGTAACCCTTCTTCATGAGACGATTCAGTGAGATGAGCTCCCTTCGAACCCTTCTCCCTTTTGATGAAACCTTGTAGGTTCATTTTGATTAGAAGCCAAAGACCTGGATTGTGCATTTTGATATATTGACAGCATGCCTTGTGCGTGTGTTTTGACAGAGACAGAGACCGCCAGCATGCTCTGTTTGTTATTGTCGCTCAATTTTTTTTTTCAAAATAAGACAAATTTTTTTTCTCACCAAAGTTTTCTCATTAAATGGTATCAAAATATTAAAAATTATTAGTGATGAAAATATATTCATCACTAATAATTTTATAATTTGGGACTAATTTTTTCCTCTCTAAAAGTTTTAAAATTTTGGTGTGACTCAAAAAAATTAGGGAAAAAATCTTCGGTGATAAAAATAAAAATAATGACGAAAAATAATTTCGTCACATAATTTTTTTATTATGTATGTAGATTGGTGATGAAATTTTTATTTTTCAAAAAAAAAAATAGTACATTTGAAGATGAAATATTATTTTCTTCACTGAAAATGTCTTTCGTGACAAAATTTATTTTCGTCATTACCTTTCATCTCCAAAGACTCTTTTTTGTTGTATCTGGTTTTACTACCCAGACACACATCCAAGGCTCCGTGGGTGTTTCGCAATAACGTGCCAAAGTAACGAAGAAAACATCAAGGATGGTGTCCTTTGAATTTCACTGGAATTGGCAAAAGAAATTCATCCTAAAGTGCCAATGGAAGTCCTGACCATTGCTCAGATAATGGTATCCAAGATCGTCGTCTTTCGATTGGCATTGAATCAACAATGGGGTAAGATTGTCCGGAACTGCATTGATGATATGAACCTGATAACGTGTGAAATCTGCAAGCACATGATTTGAGCAAAGTAAAAGGCCAAGATGATAGTTAGAAGAAGAGCATGGTTCGTCATCATAAGCCTCATTCTAGAACTGAAAGAAGTGTTTCAAGTTGGTGTCCTTGTTGCCATTTTGCTTATGTGTGTATTGTATATAAATAGTACTTATCTAGCTGTGGTTTAAATGTGTTTCTATTTGCACTATAATAAATCAGCAATATAATTATGAGCATTTAAATAGATGAATAATCCTGGAGACTTATACATTTATACCCACAAACAATAAATTACTGCTATTTGTCAAGTAGTATATTACTACTATTTATATTTTTCAACCAAAATATTATTTTGTATAAGCACAGAAAATAATTTCTGTAAAAAGAAGAAAGAGAAACAAACGAAAAATTATGTATAAACAGAATAACTTGAAACTAAATCAAACAAATAAAAATAAATTACTTACAGAATTTATTTTCCGAAACAAATAAATACAAAATTGATCAAGTCGAGTATGTGACACTCTGTCCTTAAGACAGATTCGCCCCGCTTCGATATTTACGCATAAATGACGTCTATCTCCCATGATACAATGATCTTACATAGATTGTAGTAGCACTCCAAATAATTTACGGCGAACTAGAACCTGTGTTCTATACTCTCAAAATTTTTCTCTAAAAAACTAGTATGAAAAACAATGCAAACAAATAGAAAACCTGGGAAGAGAATTAGGGCTTGTTTGGTTTGAATTTGAGAGATGAGTTTTAGAAAAAAATTTCTCAAAAATTGTTTGGTTTGAGATTTTTCTCAAAAAAATTCTAAAATCACTTTCTCTCTCTTACACATCAATCAATCACTTTTTCTCTTTCCTCTCTCCTTCTCAATCACATTTTCTCTCACACACATCTACTAAATTCTTCCAAAATATCAAATCATCACAAACTCCCACAAAAAATTTATCTCTCAAAATATACAACCAAACAAACTAAAAAAATTTCTAAAACAACTCTCTCAAATTTTTTTCAAAAACAACTCTCCCAAAAACAAACCAAACAAGCCCTTAATTTTCTAGATGTCCAAGCTGCTAGAAAAGGTGTAGTATTTATAGGAAGATTGGTGACCTTTAGGAAATGCCAAATAGGTAAGATTTCAATTTGAAGAGGTGCAATTCAAACTTGAACAGCTCTGTTGGAAAACCAGTTTGAATCTGTCCGAAACTGCTGGGTAGTTTTAAATCTTTTTAGAACAGTTTAATTTGTTGGAAAACGGAAGGGAATTTCTGACTGGTGGAGGTACCTTTTGGACAGAAAATTGAATTCAAATTTGGCGCAAAATTTGAATTAATTTCGTTCAGAAAAAATAATTTTCCAGCAAGATTTTTTGGAAAAAATTCAAATAAATTTTGTCCAAAAAATTAATATTAGAACCGACTCGACCCACACCCATGCTTGGCACAGCTCACTGGCCGGATAGACGGCGGCGGCGGTGCACGCGCACGTGTGGTGGTTTAAGCCAAAGTTCATTTTGTCCATAACTCCTCCCTTCTACAAATTTAGGGTGTCCCTTGGGGACTAACCCAAGTTTGTCCACCTAGAGCTTATATACATACACAAGCTCTCTTAAAGTTTCAATGTGGGATAACCATTTCAAAGAAACCCACATTTTACTCTTTAATTGTCCATTCCATGAACCCGAAAATAACGTCAACTTCTCATTCACTCATAAATGGTTTTGACAAACTGTCTTCATCGTGTAACTTGCCATACGGCAAAGAAAACGTCACCTCTTTGGACCCACCCCAAAAGACGTGTGGGCCCCATTCAAATTTGGGCTCAAAGTTGGCCCAAAATAAGCCTATAAAAAAACACCATAATTTCCAACAATCCCCCACATGAATGGAATTTGACGGAGAGAAAACGCAATTACATGATCTAATTACAAAGAGTACAGAAATCGGGAATATTCTGCAAAGGATAGGTAGCTTTTGGCTTTGAACATTTCCTTGTGAGACACTATCGGATTTACTGGCTAACCAGTGAACATGATGTCTTGAACTGTTCAACTATTTGAGTAAACCAAGACAATAAAACTTACACAGAATATTACTAGACACAGTTTAGTTCTCACTATTGTGTTCATTTTGGCCCTGAACAACCTGGTCTTTCGTCAGTGCTCTTGAGAATTGTAACCCTTCACAAATTTCATAGAACTGGCCTAGTTCACACTCATATAGGTGTTTCTTATGAAGAGTATCCTGCTATACTCCACTAGGTATTCCTAGATATTATAAGAATCATTAAAAGTATTACTTAACCTAAATGCTGCGGACATCACTATTTTATCATAGAAATGGGTAGGAGTTTGACTCTTCAGTGATCCTTCTGAGTCATACACAACTCAGTTGTAACTTTGAACCTAGATCTTGGGATCTCCAGTTAACTAGGTTGGGTTGCCATTGTGGTAACTCTTATTTAATAGGCTTAAGTCCCATTCCACTCGATGAATTTTCAACTAACTCTCTTGTTAATCTTTTGGTTAGTGGATCCGCTATGTTGTTTTTAGACTTCACATATTCAATGGAAATAATTCCATTATAAAGTAGTTGTCTCACGGTGCTATGCTGACGACAAATGTGTCATCACTTACAGTTATACATATGACTCTGTGCTCTACCAATCATTGATTGACTATCACAATGTATGCATATCGTAGGCACTGGTTTTGGCCACATTGGAATATCCTCAAGGAAGTGACGAAGCTATTCTGCTTCTTCCCCAGCTTTATCTAAAGCTATAAATTCTGATTCCATAGTAAACCTAGCAATGCAAGTCTGTTTGGAAAGATTTCCAAGATACAGCTACCCCACCAAGAGTAAAGACATACCCACTAGTGGATTTTGAGTCTCTAGTATCTGATATCTAGTTTGCACAGATGTGGCGAGTAGCACCAATGTTCACCTACTATTCTTTAGGCTTTTCGATAAGATTTGCCTCAACTGCAGAAAGATTAATGTCCTCTACACCATTGGAAATGTTGTCCACTTCGGTCATATTAGCTTGAGCAAGCTTCTTGCTTGATCTTCCTTTGCCTTTACACTTGCTACTGAAATCTTTGGCCCAATGTCTCTCTTTGTCATAGATGTAACATTTTCCATTGAACTTGTACTTCTTAGTTTCCCCTCCTTTAGAGCATTATGCGAAACTTTCTCCAGAAAACTTTTGTTTCTTAGCTTTTGGTGCATGTTCCACCACATTTGCCTTAGACTCCATTGGATGCTTACCAACCCACTTCTCAAAATTGCGATTGTCCTCCTTAATCCTCAAACACACAATCAATTCCTCTAAAGTTATTTCTTTGTGCTTGTATTTGAGGTAGTTCTTGAATTCCTTCCAACCTTGTGGTAGTTTTTCAATTAAGGCAGTAACTTGGGAGGATTCACTGAGAGACATGCATTCTGCATGAATGTCGTGCAGAATAAGTTGAAGATCTTAAACTTGGCTGACCACAGTCTTAGAATCAACTATCACAAAGTCCAGAAATTTGCCTACTATGAATTTCTTCGAGCCAACATCTTCTGTTTTGTATTTTTCTCCAAAGACTCCCAAAGTTCCTTTATCATCTTAATAGGGTTGTAAACGTTGTACAATGTGTTATCAAGTCCGTTCAAGATGTAGTTTCGGCAAAGGAAATCAACATGTTTCTAGGCATCAACCACAACAACCACTTGTCGGTTGGTTTCATTCTCTTTTAGAGTATGAGCACTTTCACGGAGAAAACATGACAGGTTCATAGTAGTAAGATAAAACAGCATTTTCTGCTGCCATCTTTTAAAATCAGTTACTAAAAACTTCTCTGGCTTTTCACCGTGATTGACTGGCATAGTCACAACAGAATGAAGGTTTGGAACAATTGCAATCACCATACCAGTGCAGGTTTGAACATCAGTCTAATTAGTTTCAGTAGCTATGAATTCTAAATTATAAAACAAAATTAGAATTAGAATTTTATACTACACAGAAAATTAAACCATAAACACAGAATTTAATTCTGTAAAAATAAAAGAAACAAAATTTGTAACTTTTATTTCCAATTAATTTGAAATAAATTTTATTTAAACATGTTAGGTTTTTATTCTTGGCAATCCGTTTGACAAAACTCCTTTTAGATGTAATTATATTCGATCTTTTTTATTTTAGTGACGTTATGAGTTTAGTTGTTGTAGACACTCTATTTTTGACTGTCCTCAAGACTTGGACGTCATTGTTTGAACACTCGATGATCATCCATGCTCGTGTTCGTTTTGAGTTCCCGAAGGTCTCGGCTGCGC